AACTCTCTATTGGAGTCCCTTAACCGCAATTGTTCTTAAGGTTGTTGAGTTTGCCCTTTAAAATTGTCTTGATGAAGGAAAGTTACAACACTGTCTTTAATTAACCTTCAAAGACAATGTCATTAACCTTATCTTCCCCTCCGAACTCAATATTCTCAAAGAAAAGACATTTACCATTTAAAAAAGAGGATTACTTTTGGGATCATGAAGTTTGTATCCCTTAAGCTCTTTAGTGTATCCAACAAAATAGCAACAAAGCAAATCCAGTTTTGTTTCTGTAGACCTATGCGGCCTTGCCTTAACTGGATAACTCAAAATATGGAAATGCCTACAGCTAGCTTATTTGCATGTCTATCATCCATAAGGATTGTTGCTTTAGTTGGGACACTGTCATATCTTTAACTTGCAGTCTTTTATGTCTTTCTCTCTTAGTGAGTTTAACTAAGTAGTAGAACTTGTCATACTACTTAGTTGATTCTTTAGTTTCTGAGTTCGTCTTATAATAACATTATTAGTAGTAGTACTTTCCGGCATAGTGTTATTGTATGACGATACTATATTCACTAAGAAATTCGACCAATGACCCTAGACATAGTTCACCTAATCCTTATTTCGTGGCATAGTGTTACTATATGACGATACTATATTCACTAAGAAATTTGACCAATGACCCTAGACATAGTTCACCTAATCCTTATTTTGTTTGTAAAATTTATCTACTCTTAAAGTTTCGGAACAAGTCTAGTTCTTAGTACTCCTCATTAATGGTAAAAAGGTAGTCCTGGGAAGTTGTTTGTCAACATAATACAATATGTTTGACCACTCTAAAAGAAAAACGTAAAGAATGGTTTACATATATCGGTATGTATTAGTTCTAACAACATCTGAAAACCTTATGCCACCCAGTCTTATTTTGTTTGTTTGTTTGTTTTTTACTTAGTGCACTTAACTCAGATTTTGAAATATGATAAGTAAAGTAAATTGAGAAGTCCATATGACATAATTCCTTGTTTAAAGCAAAGTGCCTTAAACAAGTGTACCAAATTGATGTGGAATTCTCGTTTCTTAATTTGATGTTAGTACCACAACATCAATATGTACGAATATGAGACAAGCCATAAAACCTGAATTAAGATTACCATGACCTAATTGAGAACTGAATTAACCTTTTTTGAATTCTTGAAAGAGACTAGCATTATGTTACCCAAAAAACAAAAATAACCGGATTTCGTTCAATATGGAAACATAAATTACGTTCCATCTAAAAGATAGAACAATAAAAGTCTCTCTCAAGTCCAAATATAATATAGTCTTTAATGATATCCAAAAAAATTTATTGCCTCAACCGTAATTGTCTTACCATTGCTCTATATAGATGTGTCTTTCAACATCAATTTGCTTTTGGTGATTTAACCAACCTAACATAATAGATACACTTATATGAGTAGTAGCGCCGGAGTCTACTCACTAAGTATGCTTAGCTAGGTACCAAAATAGAATGAACCTTAAAACAAACAAAAAACAATTACTACATAATTTCTTTAAGTCAAACAGAGAAGTACCACCAAAAAAGTAGCAACCAACTTTAATTTCCTAATTTTGCTTCTTTTGTGATACTGTATATTGCAACTTAATTATCCTTCTTTTCCTATTTCCTTATTTTCCAAATGATTTAAGCTTAATTGAGCACTTATTGGTTCTTCTTTATTTTACAAATGTATATTCATCTCTTACTTTAATCTCTCTTTTTGTACACAATATGAAATGAACTCATTAAGAGTCCCTTCTACTTAATAACAGTAAAACTGTTCTTAACCGAATCTCATTGTATATGAGAGAGATCGACTATAAATTTAGTACCTTAAATCTTAATCGAGATGATAATTTTAAATAATGCATTTTCTTATGTTCCCGCTTTCCTTATACCCTCTAGAAACAAGATCTTTTAAAAAGAGTACTCATTCCCGCCAGTAGGAATAATTATTTGCATTATTTAATAGTGCTCATTAATGTTTCTTAATGTTTCCTTCTAGTTCTTGAAAGTCTTAACGGAGTTAACTAAAGCACATATTACCAAAATAGCGGAATTAATTTATTAAAAAATAACCAAACACAAGGTCAATTTTAAAACCTAATATGACATGATTAGTAAATTCAAATTTGGCATTCCCATTTACAAGATACCTAGTGCAATATTGGATTTAGTCTTTGGACAAAAACACTAATTTGCAAGTGGTACTCTTGACGCAGTAATCAAATATTGACAGTTCAATCCTGTCAAATAATAAGCGTATTAATCAAGCACAATTTAGACTAGGCAATTTCAAAGGGTTTTGTTTATTTCGTGCTTTTGCTGTTGATTTCAAATATCTAAGTCTTGTATAAAACATTTTGTAGATTAATTTTTTAAAAAACAAAAAATATGTTCATTGCTCTTGATATTATTTTCTCACATTGTTTAAAAAATTATTTATTGTCTAGATGGTTTTGTACTTGTGTGGAATAAAAAATTCGAAAATGTGTCTGTCTCTTCTTAATGTGCACCTCTCGGGTTCTTTCCATTTTTCTTAAAAGTTCTTATGAAGGCTTTACTTTGATTGGTTTATTTTCCTAGATCACTTGTGTTCGATTCTATTTTAAAAATTATTATTATCTACAAATTCTTTGGCATAATGCTTTTTAATTTCTTCATTTCACTTTCCAATGGTGACTGAGGAATATTGGTTGCTTAAATTGTTATCAAGATTTGTTGTGACTACAAAATATGTTAATGTTTGTTGTGTTCAGTCCACCAAAGCGGAGCTATTCTGGCATCTGAACCTCGACAGCTACCTTAGAGAAAAGGAGAAGTATCCAACCACTTAAAGGTTCAGCATTTACAGAACAATATCAATACCAATCGTCATTGGGTCAGACGATCTAACAACATTACCATTCAAATTTTTGTTTATGTATTTTTGTGAAATCTATATGCTTCAATTCCTTTTGAAAATTTTATATAAAGGACCAGAGTGGGGCAAATTATGAGTAGTATAAAAACATTATTAATTTATTTTTTTGTACTTGATTCTTGAAAGAAAAAAATAAATTTTCAACTGAAAATCTATTACACTAATTACCGTTAACTATGAATTGTTTCACATCGATTTGATGATAATTGTTGTTTTTATTATTACACAGTCCCAGATGAAAATGAAACTACCTATACTCCAGATTATCTTTACACTATCAAGGCATCCGACATACCAAATAATAAGTTGGCACTCAAAGTTGGTGTTCCATTCATGTTGCTAAGAAATGTTGATCAACGTGCTAGACTATGTAACAAAACAAGATAAAAAATTAGGAGATTTAGACATTTCGTTATTGAGGATACGATCATATCCATATCACATGCTAGAAATATAGTTTTTATTCCACGAACAGCAATTACACCGTCTGACAAGAGGCTTCCATTCAGGATGATGAGAAAACAATTCCTATTGGCCGTTTGATTTGCTATGATGATCAATAAAAAGCAAGGACAATTTCTTTTGCATGTTAGCCTTTTTTTTTTTTTTTTTGTCTCGATTGGCTCTATGTTACTTTTTCAAGAATCATATAGGCACTTTTGAAGAGGGTAATCGGAGTAGTCGCATAACTAATATAGTTTTTAGAAAAGCACTTAGACACCTTTGATTAATTTGACTTGTTATTTGCCTTGCTAATGTTGCGCCATATTGTTTACAATAACTTCCCGATAAACTTTTATAATTATATTATCAACTTTTATAATTATAAGCTTATTCGTGAATTAATATTATATTTTCATTATTTTTTTATCACAACAAAATATAAATTACGGTTGCAAAGGCTACCCGTGCTTGGCACGGGCACTGTACCTAGTTATTTGTTATTACTATATTAATAAAACTCAAACAAAGTTGCCTTATATAGGCTTTACAAATAACCAACTAAGAGAAAATCTACAGAATAAAATCTTCCTAAATCTTACTTGAACTTATCACTAACTTATTTGACTAAATAATCAATATTTGAAAACCCAAAATAATAGTGATTCTTAAAGACTTTGTCTACTATGAATCAATTCTCCTACACTCTCCCATGATTCATAGTAGTAGAACTTTTGATGCGTTGAGATTTTGATGCACATCTCATCAATTTGTTGATGCACCTTCTTACCAACCTAACAATTTTGGAGCACTTTCTCTCCAATACTCTTTGTATGTAAAGCACATATGCTCACATGATGACGCACATCTAGTCAACTTGTTAATACAGGATCTCACCAACCTTGCAATTTTTGGAGTAAATCTCTCCAACACAATTTTTCTTGCTTCTGCCTCATTGCTTGAAATTCATCTTCTGATTGCTCTTCTTCTTCTAAAACTTCAAGTCTAGAATTTTTTTTGAAAAAACATAATAATTTTTTTTTATTTGGTGGGAGGAATTGGAATAACATTGGCTACTTGGATTACTCTCAAATTTCTTTTCTTTTCTCACAGGATCTCAGGATCTATAGCTCTTGATACCATGTTGGATTTTTTGAGAAGAGCAAAAAAAGAAATGACTGAAATTATTTGTTTTTGCTATATTAATAAAACTCAAACAAAGGTACCTTATGTAAGCTTTACAAATAACCAAGAGAAAATCTATAGAATAAAATCTTCCTAAATCTTATTTGAACTTATCACTAACTTATTTGACTAAATAATCAATGTTTGAAAAACCAAAATAATAGTGATTCTTAAAGACTTTGTCTACTATGAATCAATTCTCCAACAGACCCATAATCACTGGTTAACGGATTCGTTTGTCTACTATGAATCAATTCTCCAACAGACCCATAATCACTGGTTAGCGGATTCGACTATCTTGTGAAGCAAGTTAGGTCGGCCAAAGTATCAGATTGCCACTAAGACAGGATTTAATTAGTAATCATTCTCTCTATTTATGTAAGATCTTAGATTATACACTTTGAGCACCGGGAATAGTACACTATGCTTTGGCCGGCGCATCTTCAAAGTTTTAATCCTCTTTTTAGTAATAACCCTCCTACCGACGTCTCCAAGAACCCTGCCGAGATTCATGGCATTGATCAATGCGGTTATGGTTCCTCAGAGTTTCGGAAAAGGAAAAAAAGAGAAGAAATTGATTCTGATGGCTTGAAGAAACGTATTCATGCCGTTGCTGGTGACTGGGAAAATTCTGTTGGCTCCAATGTCATAAAACAATTGGCTGGACACCTTGGTTTGACCGAGGACTCTACAACAGATGATGATGGTATTATACTTTAACAACCAGCTTTCTTGAAATTGAAGCAGTTCTTTTAGCATAAAATTTGCTTTTTAACATTAATCGCAGTTCACCTAGGGTTTTGAATATTTATTAATCTCTGAACTAAACATTGATTTAATCTTGGCCTTTACAGTGATCCGTATTTCTGATGATGAGCTGGATGATAACCTTACCAAAGAAAAGGACACTGAAGAGTTGAAGAATATTTTCAACCTTTTGGACAAGGATAAAGATGGTTACATCACCACAGAGGAACTGGTCTTATTGGGTGAGTCTCCCTTTAAAGTCCAGAGTATGATCGATCGGGTCAACCCGAAGCTGGGAGGAAAAATTGATTTCCCGGAGTTCTTGAAATTGATGGATTCCTCCGAGGAACAACTTATTAAAGATTTTGAGGAGTTTGATAAGGGTCAAACTGGCTTCATTTCCGCCGAAGTTCTTCGTTATGTAATGACAAGCTTTGGGGAGGAGATGACTGGTGAAGAAGTTGATGAGATGATTAAGGACGGTGATGCGGATGCTAATGGTCAAATCAATTATAAGAAGTTTTTGAGGAAGATATGTGGTAATTAATCATAAGTAATGGTTATGCGTCTTCTTTGGTGTGTTCCAAGCTAGATTCTGAAACTTTTCCTTACAGGAATTTGTGTCAGAGTTACCTAGGAAAAATTGAATAGGTTTTGGTTTTGTTTTTCTTTATCTTTAATGTTGGTAGATTCTTTGGAGAGTTTGAATTTTTCAGGCATAACAGGTAGAAGAAAGACTATCAACTTCAGCTGTGTGGAGTCGAAGTCTCAATTATAAAATTTTTATAGGTGTAGGATTAGTAGTTGAATTAATGTCAGTGTAGTCAGATTCTTTGATGTGTGATTTCTCAATATTGTGGATGATCGATGTTGTAACTCTGGTAATGGAGTTTTCTTTACTTTAATGCTTTGGAATTCCCAGAATTGCCCCATGATTCCACAAACAAAATTAAAGTAAAAACTAGGTCATGATGATTTCTGAGGGTTGACTACTGAGATGCCTAGAAGTCCGTAAACCTTTTTTTCGAAAGTAAATTGCTTTCACTATTTCTCACCAATCATTCTCGTCGACTTAGGATTTCCTGTCCCACTTTATTTTTTCTGAAGTGAGAATTGCGCAAAAGCGAAGAAGAGGAGCACGAAATGGCCAAGACTTCAACAACAGATTATTAAAGCATATGCTACTTGGGAAGATCAAGAAATGGCCAAAACTTCAACGCCATTGCTTTAATCTAAGGTAAGGAACTAAACAAATTCTCCAGCTACCAAATGAAAAATGGATGGTAAATATAAATCATGCATGCAAACCTCTAACAGAAATAGAAGTTTTAACTTCACAGCTGAGAGGACAATACTTTAATCATAAAGGAAGACTTAGTTCTTCTGGTTTAGGGTTGATCTGTAACTTATTAAAATGACAAATTACAATGTAAAACGATATTTTGCAAGCAAAAAAGAGCATATGTAAAAGTAAGCTAATATATTGGATATATTTTTCACTGATTTCGCTAAACGAAGCAATGTATGGTTTCAACAATGTATCAATAACGGAATCATTACTGCTTAAGAAATTAACTAAACTGAAACAAATCAAAGGTTTTCAGAAGAAAAAAAATAAAGAAAAGAAACTAATCAAAAAGCCCTACATTAACAATGTCGGGAAAACGAAAGCTTCATTCAGTTATGGGGACAGAACGTGATGACGTAATCAGCCCCGGCGCAAGTACAAGTGCTGGAAGCATCATCGTACGCGTAACTGTAAGCTGAGGGGCAAGCCGCCTTGAACAGCTCCGAGTACGACGTCGGCGAGCACGTGTCTGGCGTCGCGTGGGCCCCGGTGCAACAGTATTCCGGCGTTCCGAACGCCGAGCACGCGCTCTTGCACGCGACGACCGTAGATCCTGAGGAGTCCTTCACTTGCAACTCCGGTGGACAGTTGGAGTTCAAATCGGACACGCATCCGGCGTACTGGCACTCGCCGGATCCTCCGGAGGGACTGACCCCGACTCCCACGTTGTAACCGTCGACGAGGCTGACGTCGTAGAAGTCTTTCTCGCTACTGTCTTTTCCGAGCGTGAACTCCGCCAGGGTCACCGGTGTTTCGCCACCTCCGATGCACTTCAGCCCACCACAGTCGCCGGACGAGCAAGTTCCCTCGCCGGAGTCATCGAAGTTGCATCCTGTACGTCCCCAGAAACGACCGGACCAGCCGCCCGGGGCAGAGACTTGGAAGGTTGTGCCGGGGGCTAACGCGAATCCACCGTCGCCGAGAACGGCGGCTCCGTTACCGGAAAGAGTTCCCGGCCAGACTGTAGAGCTACAATTGTTTTGTAGGGTAAAAACTGCCGCTGAAGTGAAACCAATTGTTGCTGCACCATCAATTAATTGAATCCCGTATTACATTCAACATGCTATTAAAGAACATGGAATTTCATAATTTATTCTTTTGTTTGTTTGCAGGGAAAACTAACATTATTATAACCAAGATTTGACAATTTGCATGAAAAGGAAATTTGACTCAGTGGAGGATTAAAACACAAGGACGCACGATCGAATAAGAACGCAGGTAACCGAACCAAATTTTAAAACTATTGAAATTAGTCCTCTATAAATTCTCGTGCGACTATCATGAGATAAAATATTTGTGGATTCGTCTCAAATACCCGGAAATTTTTTTCCAATAAAATGAAAATCCGAATTTGGTTTGGAAAATAAACTAACCTTATCACAGTGTTTCTATTTGAATGTCTGAACTACGTACCAACTAGTCATTATTAAAGAGAAAAAATTCAAACCCTAGCCACATCGGAAGAAAAATCATGTGTTTATGTATGTGTGTGTGTGAAATTTATCTCATAACAAATTTTCAAGCATGGAAAACTAAGAAGGCATGCAAGGGCAAGAGGGAAAAGTAACTTAATTCTTTCAATTTGAAGATTGAAATCAATCGCTCATCATAACGAATTCTAAATCCTCATGATTTGATGAAAAAAAAAACCAGGCCAAAATAAATAAATAAATAAACCATGCAAAAGGGATAATTAACCAGGCAAAAGAACTTACCGAGAAAAAGAAGAGCAAGAAGAAAAGGATCCGTGATTTGCCTGCCCGCCATTGATGAACACTTTGGAGATTGATTTGCGCGCAAGAAGATTTATGGTATTGAAAGAAAGTTGGTTAATTTGTAGTTGAGCAACTTGTGAAATATGATTGTGAGGAAGAGGGATGTTTATATAGTCTTCTGATCATCAATTTATAAACTTTAGGAAATACGGGACCAAAGATTGCACTACAACCCACCTTTTTTATTACCATATTTGTTTTGTTTTTATTTTCCCTTAAGGTTAGATAAGGAAGCGGGAAGAACAACTTTTGCCATATCAGTAGAAGTTGGTTAAGGAAAAAGAGATCTCTTAAACGCAAACTTAAATACGGAATTGCCTTTACCTCTTCTTCTTTTCTTTTGTGACAAGAACTGCCATTTTTTAAAATAATTTTCTTGATTGATGGACAGTTTGATAAACAGAAACGGTAAAATTCCAATTTATATTATAACTATCTTATAAATGGGTTGTCGATCGAGTGGTAGGATTCATTTATCCTCCTTAATCAAAGTTTTGGATTGGAAATTAACCCCCGAGCATAAGGTATTGTCACATTCATCGATAAATTAACCACTATTATCGGAAGTTACTCACTATGTGCCAATAAATAAATAAATAAATACGTAAAAAAAATAGATGAAACCCACAAAAAAAAAAAAACCTAGATGCTTGTAATCCAGAAGTTCATGTTGATTGCCATACGTTTCAATATAGGCGATGGTAATTTTTGGCCAAAGTTTTCTAAATATAAAATAAACATTTGTCTCATTTAGGTGATAATCCCAGAAAAATAACTCAAATTAATTTTTAAAATTTGTATTAAAACTAGTACAAATCTCCAAATTAAATATGGATTTCTTTTTTTTGGGGGGGGCAGAAGGAGTATTTTTTTTTTTGACAACCTTATGTAGATTATAATGCATGAGATTAGTGCATGAGGGTTTTCATTGAATTAGATATTAATATGTATCATATCATCTTGCAATTACTTTTTTCTTTTTTTTTATCATCTTGCAAGTACTTTCTCTTGCTTCTTGAGGGAATATTGTCATGCAAAGAATAGTCGTTTTGGTAATCACAAAATTTATAAACTGGTTATATCTCAGCAAAGTGAGAAAAACATACTATCATCTTTTGTAACATTTCATTTTCGTCCAACACTCTTTAAAAAATTATATATATCTCGTTTTGTCTTCAACCAATCGAAATTGAGGCTATAAGATGTAACCATGTGATGAATAACATTCTATAATATCATAAACTAATTGAGAAAATGATCACTTTTGCCCAAAAAATCAAGTTTCTGGCCAATTTGACCCAAAATATTTTTGGGAAACCAAATTCATTATCTAAATTTTAATTTTTTGCCAATTTAATCCAAATTGATGAGAATTCTGTTAGATTTAATATTTTCACTGACGTTCCGCTACTTTGTATAATTTTTTTATTGGCAAAAAACTTTGTTGACCCAAAATATCTCTAATATTTTGTTATTCATTAACATACGCTTATCTTACCATTTAATTGTTATAACGTCCCTACCACATAATTTATCTCATAATCTAATTCATTGGTCCCACCGTAAGCCTCTTCCTTATCTTACTCTTTTACTTGTTTTCCGCTGTCGCACCTCTACCGCCCCTTTCCTCTTCTCTCCTAAAAATTACCATCACCACTTCCTAAAGATTCTGTGAGGATTTCAAACCATCACTACAAACATAAAATTTGCCTCCACCAGCAGTACACAATCCTCCCTCCGTCACTACCCGCATTTCCGTCGCCGCCACTTTTCTTCAGTTCCACAAAAATTACAAAATATTTTACTTATTTTTCTTTTTTTCCCTTTCTTCTTTCTAAAAAATTGTACAAAGTAACGGAAAAAGAAAAAAAAAAGCGGTTAAACCGTTTTGACTTCGTCGTCAATTTTACCCTATTGATTTTCGATCAGTCAATTTTATCCTTTATATTTGAAATTTTTGTCAATTTCCAATTGATCAAATTTCCGTTAAACTTAACGTATCTCCTTTAGTTTTTAACAAAAACACCCCAATAGTTTCAAAATATTATAAAAATAACTCACAAAATATTTTTCGAGGTATCCAGAACCTGAACATCGTTTTTATCCTTTTTCTTGCTTAAAAAAAATGTTAAAATAACAAAATATTCCCTTTTCACTTGTATTGATTTTAATCTATTTCATTTTATTTCTATATACTACTTTTCATAACCATCAAAATATACTATATGATCTTTAAAAGATAATTATTTATTTTCAACAATATTTTTTATGTGCAACACACTTGAGTTGTCTTTTTATATTTTATTAAAATTTTTAATTTGTTTTATTTTATTTTTTTAACAATTTTCTTCTTGTACTCTCTGGCTTGTCTATGTTAGCACTATTATAATTACTATATTTCAAGAAAAAAATTTACCTTTTGTAATTCAATTTGGAGGTTTAAAAAATATTTAAAAATGTGCTGTTAAAAAATATATGTATTTATCTTTGTAATGAAATTCAATAATTACTTATATAGTTTAGCCATCGGCAAAGTAACAACAACAATTAATAAAAAAGAATAAAGTTTTTCCTATTAGCACCGTCGTGGACTAAATAAATTAGCACTTTTTCCTATTTTAAATAATTATCTAATTTTATATTATTTTTACTATCACAAACAAAATAATCATTTTAGGCTAGGTTGAGTAAAATTTATATTTTGTAACTTACCTATGAATTACAAGAAGTCAAGGAGGAAAGACTTGTCTTAGCTATTTTTTTATAGATTTTTTTTTATTTAAAATGATATCCTATTAATTTTTGTATTTATTTCAACCCGAATTTTTCTTCCTCATTTTCTTTATTTTTTAAAATTTTTTAATAATCTATGAAATAAAAGGTAAATTAATTAATGAAATTTAGTAATTATACTAGTAGCAACGGATACAAGTCAAAAAGTATAAGAAAAAAAATAGTAAATAACAAAAAAAAATTAATTAAAACTTTTAAAAATATGACAAAAATACTTCTGAACCAAACTCACATGTTTGCACATGAAAATTAGAGTTTGAAAATAAATACTTATTATTTTAAACATCTTATAATATATTCTGATGGTTATAAAAAGTAGTAAAGAGAAATAAAAATAAATAAATAAATAATAAAAAGAGATTATTTTGTTGATTTTACATATTCTGGGGTTATTTTTATAATTTTTTTGATACTATTGAGATATATTTTTGTTAAAAATTAACTGAAATCCCTTAAGTTTGACGAAAACTAGGCCAATTGGATCAAATTGGTAAAAATTTCAGACGTAAAGGATAAAATTGGCTAACCAAAAATTAATGGGGTAAAATTAACGACTCGATTAAAACTTTGGTCACAACCTGCATTTTATCTATAACGGAATGTCAGCGGATGTGTTATATCTAACGGAATTTTCATCAATTTGTTGAAATCGGCCAGAAATTGAAACTTTTTGGGTTCTGAAAAATCTTTTTGGTTCAAATTGGCTAGACACTTAAAGCTTTGGGCAAAATTAACTAATTTCTCTAATTTTCTCAATTTAATCAGGTGTGTTTAGCTATATTTATCTATGATGCACCCTCATTGTAATCCTACGGTTGTTAATTAGTCTAACTAATCCTACGGTTATTATCTTAAAACGGAGCCGTCCCGTTACGGGACTCTAGCCGCTCCCATATATATATATATATATATATATATATATATATATATATATATATATATATATATATATATATTCGACATGTAAATTTTGTACTTAATTTGTTACCAACTCTAGTTTTAATCTACTATTTAAAGTTGATTTGACTTTTTAAAAGTAAATAGTACTCTCTCTGGCCCTAATTATGAGATATTTTCATTTAGTATGTTCTTTCAAATGAAAATAAATATTAACAAATATCTAATAAATAGTAATATAATTCAAATTTTTATTTTTAATTGAAAAAACATATTAAATAAAAATTAGGACAAATTAAAGTGTCTTGATAAGACTATCAAGATGTGGAAAGCAGACTGATCTGCGACGCCTGAGAAATCATCCCGGACTTTCTTTCAAGCCACCTTGAGATCATTTGCGGCCTTTTTAGTAGCGCATTGAATTCTGTGTAAGTTGTTAACTCACAAATTTTGAGGATCCATGACTAAATAGTGAGTGGTTTACGGTACCAGAGTCGTCTATTTTGGAATTAGAATGACTGGAGGAAGTATTATCCATCGTGGTAAGAAAGAAATAACCGAACATTCATCGTCATTTCAACTAGCTAGCTGGTTTTTCCTTTGCAAACCTCAAAATTTATTTCATTTGGGAAGAGACAAAACATTCTTATATGTCATTAAAGTAGTATGCTTGTCATTGAAGTACACTAGCATCAAGCTAGCTATTTGGACTGGTTTACATTTTTCGTTTTTTTCTTTTTTTTCAAATAAAGGAAGTGTTTTTTGATTTGTAATTTTCAGATATTTTCAACTCATGCATAAACGGTTTCGCCTCATATATACTTCTACCCACTAATAACAATTCACTAAGAGCTTATAACGTGGTCGCTAGAGATAGCCGAGAACGACAAAGGAAAAAGAAAAAAGAAAATGAAAGAGAAAGATGATTAATTGACTCAAACATATTCTTAGAAGATTTAGCGGAATCGATAAAAACACCAACACTAATCTCGTTTGATGGGTCAATATGAAGAAGTAATCCCATTCTCTTCTTGATACTCATCATCTCGGCAAAGTTTTATTGTCCTACGCCGACTAAACATAAAAAAATTTTCAAAGCTTCCTTTAAACAAAAATATGGTCGTTTCTGCTGGACAAAAAAAAAATAACAATAATAAAAACAATGGGGTGGATATATATAGTTGGTTGTTTGGGTCAGAGTATATATTTTTGAATAGTGATAGGTACAATGAAAATATGACAAAGAAAATTGATAAGGAATGATGTGTATCTTAATTATGCATTAACCTTAAATGCATAAATCCTGTTTGAAAAGTTTTAATAATGAATGGGTGGAATCATTTCCTTATAATTTTTTCCTTGTACCAATCATTACTCATTTTTTAGCGAGGTACGCCTCTATAAGAAAGGAAATGTTAGATGTAAAAGGATAATCATATATAGGCCGATTAATTAATCATGATATATATATTTTCTTTAATGTTGAGGTCGAAGGTATTTGCATTAATTTCTTATTTTATCTCCAATGTAAGTTCGCGGACAAATCGTATTTCCACAAAATTAGTTGAATACTTTCCAATTAATGAGTTTTATTGCGATAAGCTTCTTACCTTTACAATCAAACAAAGTTCAATACCTTCCTTTTTTTTTTTTCTTTTTTCTTTTGTTGTCGGCATTAAAGAAGTTCATAAGTATTCCTACGTAGAATCACTAAACGACGGGAATTAATATTGCAATATCCTTACAGCCGTTGATTGAAATATCATCTTTACCCTTTTAATGCATGACTTTGATAGTATTTCCGGAGTACAAGAAAAGGCACACAGAACTGCCTAATAAAAGCAGTAAATTACTTTACAAAGATTTGTCTTGCACAACCTATATTGTTAAAAATTCAATCAAAATATAATTATTCCTATAAGTATTAATTCTCAAGTTTTCTGATATAGTTTGTTTCCTCTTTTTTTTTACTCCTTCCGTCCCATAATTATTATCCAGTTTGAGTTTTCATTTAGTTCAAATTGTACTAAAAGTGAAATTCAAAACTGGACAATAATTATGAGACAGAGGGAGTATTAAATATTGAATAATTTTTTAGATGCTCGGAGTACGTGCCATGGTTGAATTCAACTAGTTACATCACAAGGATCCTGCAAAAAATTACTCCCTTCGTCTCATAATTATTGTCCAGTTTTACTAAAATGAAAGATTTTATTTTTGGTCAAACTTAACTATATTTTACCTTAAACAACCGGATATACCCCTACATAAGTAATTGTTTAACCACTAAGATTTCTTGGATAATGTTTTTTACTAAGGACAAATGTGTAACTTGATCCATAAAAAGTCAAATTGGACAATAATTTTGGGACAAAATTTTTTGGGCAAAGTGGACAATAATTATAGGACGGAGGGAGTATCTTTTATCTCTCGAGGAGATATGTCATGCAAAGATTTCTCCGTTCTGGTAATCAAACAATATAATTATAAAGTGGTCGTCTACTTTGGGAGGGGGAAAAAGAAAATCACAAACATCTCTTGCAACAAGAATGATGTGAATCCATTTGTTAACACACACAAAAAAAAAAAAAAAAAATATCCATTTGTTAAAAGTTTGACTAGAAACGTTCTCAAAAGGTACATTGGGAATTTTTTTTCTTTTTTACGAGATAAATTAGCTGATTACGATATTATTAACAAAGCGAACTACTTCGCAATATGACAAGTACCCAACACTGACGCTTCCATGCGGAATAGGCCTCTCTACTTAGTTATATAGTCAAAGGAGAGCACGTCTGAAGAAATCGAACTTCAACATTAGAGCTCTCCTATTGTGAAATAAAAACCAAATACTCCCTCTCTAGTTCGTCCTAAAATAATTATCCAATGTTTTTTAATATAAATTATATTAAAATTGAAAATTTAAACTTAAAAATTATTTCGGAATGGAACAAGAATTTGCCCCACTATACTTGGAACTTCAGAGGAGTTCAGAAATCCTTCGCATAAAGATTGACCCTTTCAGTTCGTCTTACGAATTGCTCTTGAGCTAAATACCAGATACGTATACTAGTGCCAAATCTAAGATTAAAGCAGAAACTCAGCACTTTGAAGTCCACAGAGAAGAAGAAATTTCATGATTGCAACTATCTACAGGCACAATTTCTCTCAAATAAATGGTTACTAACATTACACTTCTGACGCTTCAGAAGATGAATCCCAGCAGTCCTGGAATGCAAGTCCTAAAAGGCGTTATGTGTTTAACATTTGAACTTAAATCGTAGCCAATATTTAATACTAATATTGTCGTAGATGAACTTCTTTTCTAGGCAATTTGATACAACTAGATGACTTTAACAGTAACGATGGATTTAGGTTTTGCTTATTTCTAACAGTTAAGGTTTACATGTTCTGACATACAGATTCAACGATCATGTAAATCCCCGCAACACTTTATGTTTTGAGCTGATGGAATGTTAATTATGAATGAGGTCACTCATTCCATACGGTCACCACCTAAGGGATTAGAGAACTCTAGTCTACCGCAATACATACATAGAGATCTGGAAGCTGCAGCAAAATGATTACTGCTTCCATCCCAGAAAAATATTCCACTTTGCCGAACCAACACAGCAAACTGGATTATTTTTTGTGGTTGGAGGGAGCGCTATACAAAAATGAAAAAAAAGAGCAAACACTACATTAAATTTCTGGCCTACGCAGGCTGTGCAAAGAGAACTACCAAAAACCTTTGCAAGCTGGACATTTATACACAAGCAAAACTATACTAATGGATAATGTTCAGTAAGATAAACTCACAAGTGCATTAAGGTGATAAGGTCTTCTTTGCTTATTTCTCGTTGACCCTGAATCCCCTTGCCAAAAGCTTTTTTTGCCAGCAGTGCTTTTTTTGCCTGTAGCTCAAGTATCCTTTCCTCAATAGTATTCCGAGCAATGATCCTTACAATCTGCACGTCTTCTTTTTGTCCGATTCGGTGGACCCTGTCCATTGCCTGTTCTTCTATTGCTGGATTCCACCATGGCTCTAGCAAATATACCCTAGAAGCGGCAGTGAGATTTATTCCAGCACCGGATGCTCTGAGACTTGCTAGCAAAATTGTAGGTCCACCTGGTGCTGGAACATCGAATTCTTTAATTATTTTTGCTCTCTTATTGGCATTCATTGAGCCATCTAACATCAGTATCTTGAACCCAGCAGCTTTTAGAGGCTCTTCAACGAGAAGTAACATTTTCCGAAATTGTGAAAATATCACTGATTTTGTTGTTGGGTTCTGTTCCCTTGTTTCACAAAGCCGTTTTAAAAGAACAGCGATTTTGGATGAAGAGCTGGAAGAGGAACCAAGAGCTTCTTCTGCCTCAAATAGTTTTGGAGGGGCTGAGAAAAGGTCAGAATCAGACAAGGGATGACGGCACAAGGGACAGCCAGCTGTTGACCTTCTTATGGCCTTAAGGATGCAGGCTTGGCAGAAGATATGCGCACAACATGTAATAACTGGATTAGTTGGTGCACAAATGCAAATTGGACAATCGAAGTCTTCACCCTCTTGCAGCACAGAAAGCATCTTTTCCAGCAGTTTTGGATTGTTCTTCACATCTGTACAATTTTATCACAATAAATCAAAGAAAAGAAAGCAAGGAATTTGTTCATCCAATTGCTCATCAAATTCAACAGAATATGTCAAGATAAGGTGGATATACCGCTGCCAACAATTTCTTATAGTAATAGCAACAAGTATGCTAAGAAATAAAACCACAGGAATAACACATCATAGGAGAAACACAACTGCACAAATAAATCACTCAAAATTTGAGAAACATATTGAAGTCAAACTATACCTTCCAGAGAAGGAAGTAAATCTCTGATTTCTGGCGGGCACAGAGCCAAAGCATTGCAGAGTTGCCGAAGTCGCACAAGGATGCTCAGTACTGTTGAATAGTTTCTAACTAATTTTTCAGCCGACAAATAATTCTTTATAATTTTCCGGGCCTCAGATTCCATTTTGTCATAAACATCCCGCTCTTCCTCGGAGAGATCAATGACAAGGGTCTCCACGGATTTTGATGGCAGACCAATCAGAGTTTTATCTTTTGTCCTCCTCAATGCTATTGTTGCCATAAGAACCTGACACAAAGGGTAAAATTGAACAAGTCAATTAAACAGTAATACCAGATTTTGACGCTAAATTTTAACGAAATGCCTAGTGTCAGTTTAGCTATTCTGCTGCTCAAGCTAAAACTGAAGCGTGTGGCCATATAGTCCTTCTTTCGGAGAAAGTGGGCAACTAGAAAAAGAGAAGTATTCCACCATGGTAGACTCTAAAGTAAGTGCCAATACAACCCTCGACATTAACAAAAAAAATGAGGGTTCCAAGAACCATGAATAATAGTTTATTTAACTTCCCAAAGACTTCCACCACGTCTCCCTATACATGCATCTAAGAAACAAACAGATGCCAACTCGACCCACTTATTTCCAGTGTCCAGGTTCAAATCTAAAGAATTCAGAAAGGGGATAAAATGAAAGACACTACAGAAGAGAGAAAAGTGGTGACTTTAGCAGGAAATAGTTCACTGTTTCCTTATCATACTAAACATATGCATTGTTCGTAGTGAGCTACTAAACCTCCGACACGGTTGCATCTGTTTCTTTCATTTCAAGCGTGAAAATCATCAAAACGAGTTATCTCAAAATAACATTATCTTCTAGACTTCTACAGCGATAGAGACAGAGAAATGAATCATGATCTTGTTTTAACTTTTCCAAAGCATAAATAAAATACAGAAAATGTAAATCACTGAAATTTCTTTGGCTGAGTAAAGAATATATGAACGAGATTTTTATCATAAATTCAACCTGGTGCGACAATTGGCAGGAGAAAGAAAAGAGCTGGAAATATCAGATTGACTATAGGTGGAAAATAAAAGAAACAGAATGTAATGCCTTTCACCTGAAGCCTGGAGATACCCTTCTCTTCTCTTGAAGCAAGAGGCTTTGCTATCAAACTATCCCAGTAGCTCTTAACTGATAATGGCTCAAACTTCAAAAACGCCAACAAAGAGAACAAATCTAGGGAGCTGTTCTGTATGGGTGTTCCAGTCACAACCCACCTTCTCTTTGATTTTAAATTTGTAACAGCTTGACTCTGCCGGGCTTTAACATTCTTAATCAGATGAGCCTCATCCAAGATAACACGCCTCCACTCAATCTTTTTCAAAGGGGACTCCTCCCAGGCATCTTCAGTAGCAAGGGTACTGTATGTAGTCAGGACAATATCATACTCAAGAAGCTTATTAGCATCTTTGGTTCGGTCTCCATAGTACATGTATACTTTCAGCTTTCCTGGCGCTATGTGATCCTCTAACTGGGTTACCCACGCTGAAAATACGGACGGTGGGCAAACAACCAAAGTTGTTTCTGAACAGACATCATTTAATGAATCTGAATCACATACTGTCTTTCCTTTGGTCCCGATTCTTGGACATGTATTCAGAGAGTTATTCGAATTACATAATGACCTCTGCTTGGTGTCACTTGTTGAACATGCATATTTTGATGTCTCTGAAACTGTCTTTCTGCTATTGTTCGACACCTCTAGTTCTCCTGTTCTTTGCGTCTTTTCTGGATTACAAGTATGCCTTCCTCTTTCCCTTTTTCGCTTATTTAAACGTACGGTGGTTGTTTCTTTTTCACCCATGGAGGATGCATTTCCAGCATTCGCGGAATCATCTAATCGAGAACAATCACCAAAGAACTTATCAAAAGCAATCAAAGAAAGCAAAGTAAGGGTTTTTCCTAGTCCCATGTCATCAGCAAATATTCCACCTCGTAGAGGCTCCGGCCTTTCGTTAATGAGATGGTTTGTCAATACATTATAATAAGCTCCATCTTTCGATTCCCAAAAGGGGGGTAAATCACAAGAGTTTTCCCGGTGAACCAACCATGCTAACCCTGCCTTTTGGTGCGAAAGAAGCTCAGATTTTATGACATCTCTTGGTGGCTCTAGTTCACCCAATACACCAGCTTCAGCAATTTGCTCATCCAACAGTTTAAATATCTCATCAACACTTTTTTCACCTTCCCCATTTAGTTTGCGTTTAGTGACATCAGATTGTGATAATGCAAATGATGAGCTACTACTCTCTGACATCAATTGGAATCCACCGTCTGAAACGGCCGATTTCACATCATCAAATGCCTCTTGTCTAGCAAAAATGTGAACTTGGCAAGGTAGCTGGTACCTATTTGACTTTGACCCATTTGGCACGATACCTGCAAAATATACCAAGTCAATATCAGCTAGACAACAGATTGACCAGATATTCACCAATGCATTTCCACTTAAAATCCCATTAAAAAACTAACTAAAAACACACGGGAGGGATGAAATCTTATGAAGTCTAAAATCAGCTAACATCAGCGAGGGCACCCAAAAGGCAAAAAGCATTATTACGTAGAAAGTGAACCAAACTCATCCCCAAATGGATTTCTGAGATAATAAATGAAATTAAAGCTGGCAAAATTACACCTTGTGCTAGGTATTACCATGCATAAGATAACATCAGAGCAGAGACTTGAAGGACATTTGGATCATCAGTTCCGATATCATAATACAAAAACGAGAAAACTTCCAGCTTAATTGAACTATTGAACGTCATGATATAAAAACAAGGAAACTTCCAGCTTAGTTTCCACTATCAAAAGAAAAGAATATCATGCAAGATATGCAGGCATGAAAAGTTCCACTACTGCCTGATCGCACCTGCTGGTTAAGGACAATAACAAGACCGCGTTGATACAAGTCATGAATCAGAACTGTTGGTAACTGCAACCAGCCCAATGGTTCTGGTTTGAAATCAAGGCTAGTATTTGGTTATAGTATATCAACTAAAACCAATCCATTAGTTGCGGTTTACGGACCAAAACCGGCTATCAGTTATTGTCAATGAATCGGAAGCAGAAAAGGCTTCTTATTCATGAATAAAAAGTGTAAGCCATAACCAAACTACTGAACCTCAGTTCCATTCATGAACTGGAATCCACAATGGCAAATTCCAGAACAGACCAGATCATCTTGTTGGTTCCGATTGAAAAATTCTTGCTAAGTTTGGGGCTAGTGGTGGAAGTGGGAAAACAATTATTAGCTGTTCAAACGATTTTTTTTTCCATGTGCTTGCATAACAATCAACATACCACAAAAACACAAAACATGTTCACAATCCAATTGAGTTTAAATGGAGCCAAAACCATGACCCGCCATTTGAACCATCGACAACTGGACTAGCATACAAACACGAGACATATGGGAGAAAGAGAAAACGTGGCACTACTACTATCCATGTCAACTTCCCCCACTGTTGAGGTGTCAAACTCCCAAATTCACAAAATCCAACAAGACATTCAAAAGAAAGGTTAAATCCAATGCTGAGGTTTCAATAAGGAGTTTTCGCATAAAGAATCATGATATGCATGCAGAGAATTTGTTCTTGAATAATCAAATTAAAAAGCAAGTAAATCGGAATCCCTACCTGCAACATTGATCAACTGGGTATCCATCATCGGGGCCAGGACTCGGGCGGCGGCCTTATCAATGTTGCCGACTTGGACCGACCGGATGTTCACAACTTTAATCGCATTTTCATCATAGCGATTAAGAGGGTCCCGGACGAGTCCCACCATTTCCCGGCCATGGACCGCTCCGTTGTAGTACTGGATGCCCTTCACGTAAGCAAGAATAAAGCCCACGAAATAAGTATCCGCCGGAGAATCCTGCGACTGTGGCGACGGTGAAAGCGTCGACGATGCCGATGCCGATGCCGATGCCTCCGAGGAAGAAACGAAGGCGGCGCCGCTTCCGAACACTCTAGGGGGAGAAACGGGCCATGTTTCCAAGTCCAAGAACTCAATCGCAGGGTCATCCTCCATTCCGCCGCTGCCGATTTCGAGTTATTCCGTCCTGAATTCCGTACGACGCCTTGCCTTTCTCTTGTTCTGTTCTGTGAATTTGGGATTTTTGGGAGAGCGAAGTGAGGATTGTGGGCGGTGATTAGAGAGGGGGGTTTTTGCAGAAGGGACAATTGTGGTTTTTAAATATACTTTTAAAATTTGAAAGTGGATGTTTTTGGTGTAGTTTTCGAAAAGGGAAGAAAGAGAAGGGGGAAAGGAAGAAAGACACGAGTGGCTCTTTCTATTTATTTGTGAGAGATGATATTTTGATTTCGGGAATTTCCTTTTTAAAAGGATTTTCTCCATAATTAAATTTTGAACTAACAGTTAACTTCGGTATTATGTAATGGAGAAGGATTTTGATTTTCGAATACCAAATAATACTCAGATTCTATACATTTACTAAATTGATTAGACGTGTTTCGCGTGTATTGAGAAAATATAATGACATTATTTCAACAATATAAGAAAATAATGAATTTCTAATCAAACAAAAACTGTGAGTCACTTTTAGTTTTTTTTGGGTAAAATGTAAATATATTAATAATTTTTTTTTTCATATTGACAACCAAGTTTGGTCTATTAAGAGAGTTGCTGGCCCTTTATTCATTTTTTTATTAATTAATTAATTAAACATGATCACCAATTTTCATGCATGCCCCCTTTTCAATGTTGTGCCCAAAAAAAGCAAGCATGCTTGCAATTTTTTCCATGCACTTACTTTTTTATTTAAGCAAGAAAAAAGAGATAAGCGACTTTCAAGTTCCAACTACCTCAAGAAATACTTAAGGGGTATACCCACAAGCTATTCCTTGAGACAGCTAGTGCTAGATGGCAAGATGCACCCAAAGGATGGACACCAATACCATCTAGTTCCCTATGATCGCTTCTCTCGTACTCTTATTAAAACATAGTTGAAATAAGAGATTTGCAGAGCATAGGTCTCACCAATTACATCACCTAGACTTGGAACGAATATAAGAGAAGGAATGTTGATCTAAAATCAATAAACTTGTTACATATCTAGGTAATACAGCTAAAGAAGAGTACAACTCCAACACACCAGAGGATGCAAGTTTAGACAATCTAGCTGCAACGGCATAGCCTCTCTAAATATATGGGATACTTGGTATCCATTTCTCTGTATAATAGATGCCATTTCATGTAACAAAAGAAAATGCTTCCATGGAAATCCATAGCGTTGTTGCAGTGCATCTGCTAGAGCCTTTTTGTCCGTTTGCAAACATACATTTTGAAGCTTAAGCAACTCACATTTCCGCAATCCAAAAATGGCCCCTGCTACCACCGCCAGAAAATTATCACCTCCACTCAAATAGCCACTTTCTCCATAAATGAAAAGCCCTCCCTCACCACGAATAACATAGGCATAACATGCTTCATTCAAAACAGAAGAACCATCGCAATTTAAGATGAAGGAGCTAGGGTTTGGTGGATACCATTTCACTTCCTTCAACTGTGGCCGCAGCTTTTCATTCAAATCTGCCCCAACATGATGCTGAAAAAAATCCTTTTCCAATGAATTTGACACCTTCAAATCATGCACTTTCATCATAAGACAAATCTGGTTCTTAATAACATGGATGAGATGCGGAATCTCTATTGCCACACCATCAAAGAATACCTTATTTCGCGCTTTCCATGTTTCCCAAATAATGACCATAGGCAACCTCATGCGTAAATACCCATAAGCAGTACTCATGTTGCCTCTTCTCCACCATCTAGTGATATTTGAAGCAAGAGAGGTAGTGCCTGACAGTTTGATTTGCATAAGATCCGCAAAATAGTCCCAAACCACCTCGCGCACCTTTGGCACCCAAAGAAAATGTGATCAATCCTTTCCCCATCCTTATAACAAAACCATCATATGGAAGGAAGAATCTAAATGCCCATCCCGCCTAAATCTTCCGGGAATGGCAACAAACCGTTCCGTTCCAGGCAAAGAAAGATATTCGCAAAGGAACCTGTTTAATCCATACATGCCGCCTCCATTCTTACTTAGGGTTGCGCTTTCGCATCACCTTATATGCGGATTTGACATAAAAAGCCCCACTAGGAGTATGTTGCCAAACCAAAAGGTCATTCTCCTCCTGAAACTGAAAATCATGAAAAACAAGAAAAACTCTTATATGATCAACAAAAACATTGTTAAATTCCACAAGATAGCGATCTTTATCATCAAAAAAGTCCCTTATTGTAATCTCCGGACGCAGGGGTTTAAAGGATTACTCATCCTAAATAACGCCATATTGCGACCAATTGTCAAACCAAAATGAACCATCTCCTCGTCTCACAATCAACTTAGTGTTGCTCACAGTTCTAGCATGAATCTTTGAAATACGATACCACAAAGTCTTCTTCTTTGAAGCATGAGATAACGAGGCAATAAAATTACTCCAAATCCCCTTCCTCAATCTTAACTTCCACCATAATTTTAAAGTCAAAGCATCAACAACTCCCTGAAAATCCCTTATTTCTAGACCATTTTCCGCAACCGGATAAGTGAGTCTCTCCCAAGACCTTCAATGGCGTCAGGTTGTTTCTGATGGCCCACTCCACAAGAAACGCTGACCCTTCTTTTCCATCTCCCTTAAAATTGATTTTGGCGGCGGGATAGCTGAAAAGACATGTATTGAAATGGATGCCAACACATGTCTTATTAAAATGAGGTGACCACCTGGGCTGAGAAGCTTATTTTCAACCCTAAAAGTCTTGTATCCATGTTATCCAATAGAAATTGGAAAGTAGATGCCTTTCGCCGGCCATGATATAACTGAAACCCTAGGTAAACAAATGGCAAGGCACCTTTTTGAATCCCCAGAGTATGATTAATAATCCCAACCCTTCTTGCATTGCAATTGGCTGCGACCATAAAAGCACTCTTTTGACGGTTAACTTTTTTACCTAAAGCTTGCTCATAAGTGTTAAGGAACATATACAATTCTCTTAGCGACCTTTTCAGACCCCTAGAGAATATTATGAGATCATCCGCAAATGCCAAATGAGACACCACCAAAGATCTCCTTGGAGTACCATAATTCGCAACTAAACCACTTCGTTCAAGATAATTCAACCTTCTAGTCATAGCTTCTGACAAAATGATAAACAAATAAGGGGAGAGAAGATCCCCTTGTTTAATTCCTCTTGTGGACTGAAAGAAGCCAACTGAACAATCATTTATCATCACCAGAACCAACTACTTCGAAGATTAGACATTATCCATCCAACAAAGCGAGTCGGAAAGCCAAATTTCAGCAACACTTTCTCCAGGAAGCTCCACGTAACCCTATCAAAAACTTTCATCATATCAAGCTTTAGGACCATATTGCTACCTTCAGCCTTTCAACCAAGGAACTGACATAAGTCTTGAGCACACATCACATTATCAACAATGTCCCTTCCATCCAGAAAAGCTTATTGCTCATTTGAGATGATTTTTGGTAAAATAATCTTGAGCCTCTCTGTGAAGACCTTTGTAAAAATCTTGTCCAAGAAGTTACACAGGCTGATTGGCCTATAATCCGAGAAAGTAGTAGCTACATTTTTCGTCGGAATTAAAGTAATCAATGTGCTGGCTATCGATCTTGGCAATGGAGCACCACGCATAAATTCTTGACAAGCATCAAGAAGATCAATAGCAATAATGTTCCAACAACTTCTATAAAAAGCCCCCCCAAATCCATCAACACATGGAGCATAATCTTCACTCAAACTGAAAACTGTCTCTCCAATTTCTTCAAGAGAGATTTCCCTCAACAAAGAAGTAGTATCATCATTATCCAAAGTTGGAGGTATGTGCTCGAGCAAAACAGATTGAGCATCTACAACCCCTTGATCTTCAATAGTGTCATTCAAAAGTTCCTTATAAAACTGGATTGCTTCATGCTCAATGCCTTCCGAATCGGTGATCATTATGCCATCCATCGATTGGATTTTAAAAATTCCTGGCCTCACCCTATGCTCCTTCAAAGTAGCATGAAAAAATGAGGTATTTGCATCACTTTCCTTAAGCCATTTAACCCTCATTTTTTTATCCTAAAAATCATCATGTTCCTTTAACTTTTGAAGCAAGGTAGCTTTTGCAACATTTATCCGAACTCTATCAGATTCCAGCCCCGTGGAGTCGTATAGACTCTCTAACTGTTGGACTTCAGCTTTTTTCAGATTCTCAAACACATCTCCAAAAACATTTTTGTTCCATTCCTTTAGAGTGGCCTTTAAACGCCGCAGATTGAGTGAAAACCCTAGCATACTAGAACGATTAACAGGCTGATTCCAACATGCACTTACCACCATTTTGAAGTCACCCCTCCACAGCCACATTTTTTGAAACAGAAAGACTTTCGGTGATGAGAATCATATGGCTTCACATCAAAGTCAACATCAAATGAAGGAGCAAAAGGTGCACTTGTCAGTTGGTGGTCCTAGATTGTTTCCGTTTAATAATAAAAGAAAGTTTGCTGTGAGAATTTGGCCTTCTTTGGAAGAGTTATCACCAACACCTTCTAGTGGGAACATTGAGGTTGAAGAAGAATCGCTTGGTGAGGATCAAGGGTTGGAAGAATCTAATGAAAACTTTGCTAATCATTGGAGTGATTCAAGTGATGAAGATTCAAGTGATCTCCAAGAGATTAATGCAAGTGAGTTTGTTCCAAAGAGCAAGCGTCTTGAAGAGATTGAAGATGCACATTCAAGTGTGTAGAAGACATCAAATTGAAGTTGAGGTTTTGAATGGAGCCGCGCGCACCAAAACCAAGGAGGGAAACGAGCGGGAAGGTTATTTAATTATTTACGATTTTATTGAGTCCGTAAATAGATAAAAAGTCTATTTACTTCAGTTAAATAAAATTAGAGTTTTGTGAGCTATGTGTGGCAGGCCCTAGGGAATATTTCATTAAGGGTAGATTAGTCTTTTACCATTAAAAGAAGTAAAGTTAATTACTTTCCTTGCTAGTTAAGTTCAATTAGAGTTTGAGTCAAAATTGACTACTTTCCTTCCTTTCTGTGAATTGGATCGAGTAGTACAAGGAAAGTAGAGTTTCTTTGGCCTAAAGTAAAGCCTAAATAGTAGGATTTGTGTCTTGGAGAGCAAGAGAAGCTTGCCTATAAAAGGTGGCCGAATTCTCTCACAAAAGTATGTCGAAAATTATGAGTTGTTTCGTCAAATAAATTGATTTGAGCCCTTTGTGGTTTTTCTTAAACAATGAGTGTTTCTTATTGTTTTGAAGGAGAAGAATGGTCAGTTCTTTCTTTCTTTTTTAGAGCCTAACGTGTGACTTGGTTCTTTGAGTTAAACCATTTTATCTTGTTGAGCATGTTGCATGATTTAATTTTTTTAAAACTAATTTTCTTATCATCTTTTGATATGAAGGCCGATAGGTTGAGCATGTTAGATTGCTTGGTTTGTTCGAATTCTTTGTGTCCTAGAGTTGTAGGATACCTTGTTGGTTTATCTATTTTATAGATGAGTTTGAATGAAAATAGCATGATGAATAATGTATTTTGTTTTGCTTATTACCTTGGTTATGAATTTATATGGTCCAATATAGAGATATATTCGATGGTTTGTTTGTAGTTGAGTGAGTAATTTGCTCTTTACATGTGTCGTCAATTATATGGGTGATTTTTTGATTATATTGAGGGGTTTGATCTTCTAAGACTAAGTTGTTCAATCCGAATGGTTATTTTGACTTTGCGTTATGATCTTTTGCTTGAGTTCATAAGGTATAGGAATTCTTTTCAACGGTATAATTTATTTGTGAAAATTCCGCACTCTTTTAGAGTTTCACTTTTAAACATAATTTTTAAGATCTTTCTTGTTGATGGTTCCATTAATGAAATTTGGTTCGTCTACGAGATTGCCATCATTCAGTTTACTCACCTGAGGAGGTGATACTAGATGCAAAATTGGGTAGTGATCCGAAGTTGTGCGACTGAGATTTTCAACTGAGGAAGCTGGAAAAAGGTCGTGCCATTCTTTGGTAAACAAAACCCTATCCAATTTTTTGCTAACCCAACCTGTACTTCTTGTTCCTCCCCATGTGTATTCCTCCCCAACCGGCAACATTTCCATCAACTGACAAGCTTTTATGCACTCATTAAATTGCGTCATAGCAACATGATCTTGAACAGAAACCCTAGAGTACTCGCCCGAAGATCGGATTGCATTGAAACCCCCACCTACCATCTAAGAAGAGTTTAAATATTTGTGTCTAAACTCAACCATACTTTGCCATAACGCACGCCTACCAGCTCTGGTGGATTTATCATAAACAGCTGAAAAATAAAACTTTCCAAGCACCATTCCATGAGTTGCTTCAAAGTGGAGGGCTTGATCATCATCATCAAGCTAAGTTACAGGGAACTCTACTCTAAAAAAAAAAAAAAACCATATTTTGCTAGTTCCAGAAGAAAAGGCCATATCAAACCCTAATTCCGTCTCAACTCTTCAATTTTCGTATTTACCAGCGTCGGCTCTAGAATGATTTAAGATAGCAATCTTATACATTCTAATTAAATTCGTCAATTGTCGCAGAGAGGCTTGATTTTTAATGCCTATGATATTCCATATAAGCTGACCTAACATTGGAAAGATAATGAAAGGAATAACCATTATTATTGTAACCGAGGAGATCTCTGGGGAACTATGCCCTCCTGAGACTTTACCATCGCTTCTTTGCTTTTGAAACAACCCCTCGAGCTGGGTCATGCAAATCCGAATCACTCTCATCAACTTCCCTTCAAACCAGCTCTCCTGCTCTACATATCTGAGAGTCATGTCCTCTGAGAATTTTCCAACATCACCGTCATCAAAGGACTGTCCCACCAACGGCAAAGTAACACTGTTAAGTATCGCTAATTCATTGTGCAATAAAGTAGGGTTTTCAACTTACGGCTCTTCAATTCCCTTCGATAGAGAAGAAAAATTCTCTAATATCATCTCTTCCATAAGCGTATCAATTGAAGTTGCAATTAAGACATCGAAATCCGTCTCAGCCATTATAGTTTCAGGTTCAACAATCTCCGCATCAGGCAGAGCACATTGTCCAGTCGCAACCTCAGTCCCTGTTGCAACCCTCGTCGCTATCTCCGATTCCGTTATGATTTCAGCCATCTTCTTAACCTCCAGAACAGGTTCAACATATGTTTCCTCTACCTCTATTTCATTGATCGTTTCCAGAACATTAAAACGATTAGACACCACTACTGCAGCGCTTTCCTCAGTCGCTTTTTCCGGTGCAATTACATTAGCGATCACCGTCGCAGTCGCGGGCTCAACCTGTCGCAGCTGCTGGGCTTCAGTGTTTTCCGGCAAAGATTTAATCGGAGAATCCTATATGTCAACTGGGATTGCAACCTTATCTTTCTCCGATAGACCAGAGGAAGAAACAATTGGCATTACGACATTGGCAAGCTTCAGAGACGAGCTAGGCTTTTCGGCCATTTTAAGGATTTGTTTCGACTATGATGCTTTGGCAGCAATTTTTTTTGGCTCTTCAACAGATTTTCTAGCAATTTTCTTTGGCAGCAATCTGTCGCCTTATGGCCAATTTTACAACATTTTGAGCAATACTCCGGGACATGTTCGTATGTGAAGAATTGTTCATACTTTTTCCCCTTTTTTCCAACTTTAATAGACTTTGGAAATTCCTTCGTAAGGTCAACTTCTACACAAAATCGAGCCATTGAAGGTCTCGTAAGATTTAAGGTTGGAGCATCAACCTTTAATGGCTTACTAATCGCTGTCGCCATGAAAAAATAACTTCAGGATTCAAAAATTCTATCGGGAGATCATGTAACGATACCCAAATTGGGACAATCAGTGGATCTTCTTTGAATTTGAAACCCGGTTTACACTTGAGAATTCTCATCGGAAAACCAGCAATGTTCGAAAAGGTGCGCATCCAACAATGTTGACAATCATCCTCCCTTTCGAAATGAATTAACACATACCTAGGGTTCATCAACCCTAGGGTATAATTTCCATGAAATCCAATTTTCTTGAATTCTTTATGGATTTCCCCCATTTTTGGCCTACCATAAGAAAACTTCCCAACCAAACTTGATTGGTGCGGAGCTCTATCAAACGTTAATATTCCTCATCTTCATATTCAATAACGGCTATACCGCTTACAAAAGTGACGGGTTCAAAGATGGTTCCCTTTGGTTGCTTTTCGGTTGAGGGTTTATGAAAGAGACTTGCGAAGGTTGGGGGAAGCCCAGTGGGGGCCTCCCCGGAATGATTTCCGGCCATGGTGGCCGAATTTTGGTAGGGTTTTTCCAAGGTGAAAGTGGCGAGAGAGAGCGAGAGAGAGAGCTTTTAGTTGCGCGAGCCTTCCCTAAGGGTATTCTACAATTCCGTGCACTTACTTTAATTATCTGAACTTGGTAGCTTGCAATTATTTTTATTTGCAAATCAATATTTTTTAGATCATATACCTTCTCTCCTCTCCCTGCTTCGTTCTATTTCATCCCCTCCTTCTACTAGAGTCCGGATTTCTCTCAAAATTCAAAATCCATAGTTAAAGGTTCGCTATCAGCAATTCAATATTAAGATTTTTCAAATACTAGTGGGTTTCAGAACTTATGGCGATTAACAGTCGACCTCGGGAATTCATGCAATGTGGGAGGCGGGAGCATAGAGAGGAGGGGTATGGGAGAAGAAAAATATTGTAAGGGGAGAAAATGGAGATGGTAGGATTACCTTCTAAATTTTGATTGCAAAAAGGAAACAGGAAAAAAAAAGTATTTACAAAAAAAAGAAAAGGGGTAAAAGAAAAAAAAAAAGAAAAAGAAAAGTGGGGTCATCATGGCAACTTCAACGTACAACATCACTAGCACATATATCCGTGACTAAATTCAGTAACTATTAAAAAGAGCCTCAATTTCTTTGTTTTAAAGATAAGAACAATTGCTCAAGTTAATCATCAATTATAAATGGAAAAACCGAAATTAAAATGATTACCCAAATAAAGGAAATTGATATTTTATGGATAATAATGATTTAAAGAATCACCATGATATATTTTTTTAAATAAAGACAACAAAAATATTATTCATTTGTGAAAAGAAACTTAATTAAGCGCCATTAATTAATTGAAGCACGGTTTGAACTAGGAATCCTTGGTTCTCGGCCTTACCCTAGCCGCCTTCAAATTCCCGGCCAAAATGGCTGGCGCCCAACCTAGGGGAGCCCCCACTGAGCCTCCCCGATCTGTTCCCAGCTTCTTTCAAAATCCACCCAATAATAATCCTCTTCGAAAGTCGATCATTAAGCCGGTCACATTTATTAATGGATCAACGGTCCTTGAATACGAGGATGATGAATATGAGCGATTGATTGCTCCCCATCAATTAAGTTTGGTGGGAAAGTTTGCGTATGGAAGACCAAAGATGGAAGAAATACACAAGGAGTTTAAAAAAATTGGTTTTGATGGCGGCTACACTCTAGGGTTAATGAACCCTAGACACGTTCTTATTCGATTTGAGCATGAAGAAGACTACCAACATTGTTGGATGTGCACATTTTGGAATATTAGTGGCTTTTCAATGAGGATTCTCAAGTGGAAGCCTGACTTTTAAGTTTGAAGAAGATCCACCAATCGTCCCAATTTGGGTTTCGCTTTTGGATCTCCCCATTGAGTTTTTGAACCCGGAGGTCGATTGGTAAGCCTCTAAAGGTAGATACCCCAACAATGAGCATGACTCGGCCATCGGTGGCTAGATTTTGTGTTGAAATCGATCTAACAAAGGAGTTACCGAAGTCGGTGAAGGTTGGAAAAAGAGGAAAAAAACATGAACCAATGTTTACATGTGAGCATGTTCCAACTTATTGCTCTATGTGTTTGAAGATTGGGCACAAAAATGAGGAGTGCAAGAAGGGAATGATGAACTAGAAGGCGGAGGCTTCAATAACCTTGCAATCACAACCATCAAAGTCCCTGCGAGCGCAGTCTCAGAAGAATTCGAATTCGCAACTAGAAAAACCCTTGCAGTCGCAACCTAGGGTTTCAGCAACTCAAAATCGCAACCCCTGTTCCACAGGTTGGTACGTCGTTGATGAGCCAATGTCTACTTCAGGTCTAAGTGCGAAGGAAAAGGCAGCCATAGTAGTTGATGTACCAGAAGATCTCTTGAAAACCAACGCGGATGATGATCTGCAACTCATTGCAAAACCACAGCCGCCGCAACAAACTTCATCACAACTCTCAATTTCTCCACCTGCAGCCGTAGTTAATTGGTTTGCCTCGCTAGAAACTATTCATGAGGAAGAGAATGAGTCTCCGGCTTCTGAAGAAGATTATCATGATGAGGAAATTGTAGCTGAAAATCCAACCCAAACCGAGAGTAGCACGATTGAAGAGGAGCGCCAAGCCCTGTTGCAACTTGGTGGTGATGTTCTGCTAACACTTGTGAAATATTCCGATGATGCGGAAGTGGGAGAAAAGTCTGATATGCTGAATGAAATTGCTGGTGGTCATGGATGTTGGTCTGAAAGTGATGTCGGCTGCATTTGGGAAGTTGAAACGATGCAAGGGATAGTTTCAGATTCTAGAAAGCGGCATCACAGAACTAAAGTTGAGAAGGCAGAGCTGTGAAAAAGGGTGGCCCTCCGGCGGTCACCTAGGTTACTGAAATGTGTCTTTTTCCTCAAGTTTATCAATGATAAGTCATTTAATATAGAATGTTCGTGGAATTAAAAATCAAGCGTCTAAAAGAATTTTGAAGGTATTGATAAAAATGTATAAGATTGACCTTCTTTTTATTCTGGAACCTATGTTAGCTGCGGACCAGATTGAAGAGGCAAAGAGAGAGTTAGGTTTTGATCTTCCTCTCTCTTTGGTCACTAGTAAGATTTGGGTTTTTAGCAAGACCTGCTTCACTTTACGATTGCTGGAAGATACTCAGCAGGTTATTCACTTTGAGGCCTCTCATTCTTTGGTTCTAACAAAATTTATGCTTTCTGCGATTTATGCAAAATCAACAAGAAATGGAAGGCATTTTCTATGGCAAAACATGGTGGCTTTCAGGCAGGCCTACCCAACTGATCCCTGGTTGATTTGAGGGGACTTTAATGTCATTAGAACCTTAGAAGAGTACTCAGGCCATTCGGTTCAAGACCCTCAAGCGATGGCTGATTTTAACGAGTGTATTCAAGAATGTGCGCTATTGGAAATTCCAGCAATTGGTGAAGAATTTACTTCGGGAGGTACAAGGCACACTGGTTGGGTTAGCAAGTGTTTGGATAGGGTTCTGATATCACAAGAGTAGCATGACCTATTTCCAAGATCATCATCAGAAAATTTGAGCAAACCAACCTCCGATCATTGTCCAATGTTGCATATTTTTAATCTCCTGGTTGTGACTAAGCCGAGAGTTTTTCATTTTTCTAAAATGTGGCTGAGAAGGGCTGAATTCATGGACTTGGTTAAAGATGATTGGAACTCACCAATGGAGATTTCTGGAATTCTTGGCTTCTCTTTGAAACTTAAGCGTTTGAAGGCTAGGATAAAAGTGTGGAATAAGGAAATCTTTGGCGATGTTTTTGCCAACTTGCGACAGGCTGAAGCTAAAGTTCAGGAGAAGGAAAATACCTATGATGCTTAGGGTGATACTAATGATAGAATGCATTACAAGCCGCCAAAGCTGAGCTCTTGCAAAGGTTGAAGGAACACGGAGATTTCTTGTCTCAGAAAATGAAAATAAAGTGGATGAAGGAGGGTGATTCAAATACGGCTTTTTCCCATGCCTCCTTGAAAGAGAGAAGGCTGCGACAAAGCCTTTTTAGAATTAATGCAGTGGATGGTAGAGTGTTGACGAATCCGGCTAAGATAGAACAAGAAGCTATTCATTTCTTTCAAAGTTTACTAAATGAAGATGAAGTTGATCCGCTTAGTGAGGATAAGCAAGTTGTTTTCCTTGATTGTGTCCCTCAGTTGCTTGGCGATGAAGAAGTTTTATGTTTTGTTGCGTCCAATACTACTTGAGGAGGTCAAGGAGGCAGTCTTTAGTTTGAGTGAAGACAGTGCTCAGGGTGTAGATGGATTTGGTGGTACCTTCTATAAAAATTGTTGGGAAATCATAGCTGATGATCTTTGGATGGCTTGTCAGGAATTTCTGGTTGGGGTTCCTATGCCGAGATCAATCACAAGCACTTTGATTACCCTAATTCCTAAGAAGGCAGCAGTAACAAATTTTGCGGATTATAGGTGGTGCGTGCCAAGTTCACCAAAAATATTACTAACTTGGATTATAAATTTTATAGATAATGGAAGCTAGGTCGATCCCACGAGGACATCTAATTACCAAAATTGTTGTAAAAAAAAAGACTACCAGTCAGACAAGGTGTCACTCAAGGGAGTGGAAACAATCACTCAGGGGAATGAAAGCCAGGGGTGTTCATCTCCTCTTCCTACTGCTATAGTTGTTTTATTAGCACTGTAA